GTTTATACACATAAACATACATATACTGATACATGCACAAACATACATGTATCAGTTTATTTTCTAAAGAAATGTGTTTCACATACATAAATGTTTCTTCATATATATGTATGTTTCTTTAGAAACAAAACAGGTGATGAATTTTACAGCCTGTGCTATTTATTTAAGCTGCTCCCACATCTTCTTTTGTCATAAGCAGCAGAACATTATATTCAAAATTCCTAAGAATAGGAATCCATAGATTTTGGATGCTTAGAAAAGAACTGAGGAAAAAGACAGTGGGATAGCTGCATTAGCTTGTAAATGTCTGTGAACCAGATAATTCATCCACAAAACAGTTAAACCCATTTGATATTCAGGCCTTACAATTGACACAAATTGTTCTAACAAGGTAATTTGTTCTTTCCAAAAGTTGATATATCCAGAAAATACTACTGGGTCAGTTACATTCAATTCATGTTTTTAAAGCACTTTTCCCCTTTGCTTTCCTACTCTGAGAGCTTGCTACATTATTTTTTCAGTTGAAGAATAATTAATGGCATTTTGTGAAAGGTTTGACAAGTATAAAAGTACGAAAATTTGAAAGGTATGGGGCTTTATAAACAAAAACTACTTGAGCTACTCTCCCATACAATTTCTAATCAACTAATAGGGCAGAAGATAAATATTTTAACAGATCTTTGATTTTCGCAACTGCCCCTGTACCTTCAGTGTATGATGAAAAATTAAATAGAACACAGAAGCAATAAAAAAATCAGCATTTTATGATTTTGAATCTAAAATCAGATTAGACTCTTAAAATCAGTACATTCTTAAAATTCTTTAAAGTCTCCATATGTGATTCTATTAAGTTAAATTCATCCTCAGGTAATAGAAAAAAACAAGGTTCCAGACTGTAGATTGAGACAAAAACTCTTGAAAATATTTTTGTCTGGGGCTTTTTTCAGATAGTCTTTGGAGAGAGATCTAGTTTTGTGATAAATAAGTATAGTGGGTTTGCATGGCAAGTTCTTGCTAGAGGGGGAACTGCAGGGGTAGCTTCTGCAAGATGATGCCAGAAGCCTCCTGCGTGTCTGATGGTCCAAGATGGACCTGCCGCTGGCCAATGCTGAGCCCATCAACAAGAGTGGTAGCACCTTTGGGATAATGTATTTAAGAAGGGGGAAAAAACCTGCAAAACAGAAACAGGAGTGAGAAGATGTGAGAGAGACAACTCTGCAGTCATCAAGGTCAGTGAAGAAGGAAGGGGAGGAGGTGCTCCAGGTGCTGGAGCAAAGATTCCCCTACAGCCCCTGGTGAAGACCATGGTAAAGCAGGTAGACCTCCTGTAGCTCATGCAGGTCCACTATGGAGCAAATATCCACCTGCAGCCCACACCAGAGCAGGTGGATGCCCAAAGGATGCTGTCCAGCTGAGAAGGGGAGTGACAGAGCAGCTTTGGTGGGCACCTGGTGTCCAACCAGGATCAACCCACCACAGTAAGCTTGCTGCTTCAGGTTAAGACAACATTGTGCAATGTGCCTCCTGTTGATTTTAAAATTTCAGATTAGGGATTGTAAACCTCCCAATATATACAACTGGGATTCCAAATTCAGTTTTCACATGACTTCCCCTAACAAGTCTCAATGAATCAGAAACTATAAACCAAATATGCAGTATTTCCCTAACACAAATACAGCAGTCACAGCTGAAATCCAAAGGGGAAAAAAAAGAAGTCAAACTTTCACAGAGCATAATGAGGTAAGGTACTAGTATCTCAGTGGGAAGCCAAGTAAATTGGGTGATTACTCTAATACATGTCACACTGAGGTCTGGCAATTTATGAACATTGAATTTTAAGATTAAATTTATAAGTGACAGGTATAACGCTGTATTTAGAGCTTTGAATTACCTAACCCATTTCAAAGTATTCAAGTTATGTAAAATTAATTATTACAATATTGAATTAAAGTTATTTTCTTTTTTTCAAATCACAAAAGTATGGAAAGTGCAGCTTGTAAACAACGTCTGAGGAAAAAAGAAAATAACAGGAAAAGAAGGTCTGATGTTGCTGCTGTCATATGATTTTATACTGATTTCTGCTGGATTACTGTGTGATTGGAGTTAAGACTTAAGAACTTTGTTAAGAATGATAATGAATAAACAGATAAGAGTAGCAAAATTGGGGTTAATAAGCAACTTTTTAATTGAAAAAGCACATGAAACTCTCATCAAGAAACTGAGAAAAGGGAAGATCAGCAGAAAGAATAATAATTCATATACCACTGTGAAAAAACACAAACCAAAGATTTGACTATTCCTATATAATGGCCTTTGCAAACTAATTATTAGCATTGTATATGGGACAGATTATATTACAGCTTTTATTATGGATTAATATTATATTATACAGATAACATTTCAAGTTTTCAGCAGTGAATTAATCAGAAAACCAAAGGCACAGAAGACTGAAAAGAAACCCACCCAAATCCTCCTGGCATATTTACTAGCATTAAACCTTATGTAATACAACGTGATGTCTCTCAAATCTGTCAACATTACAGTTTCAGAAATATTTGTCAAGTATTCTGAACACCACTACTTTTCCTATGATACTGAGCTTCATCGCTGACAATCCTGATGCAACTGAATTTTAACTAGTGTCCCTTCAAATACCAACAGCAGCGAAAGGAGAAAAAGAAAACAGCAGAGGACAACCAAGCCAGAGTCTTAGCAGAAATTCTCCCATGGAAGATAACAATGGACTTCCCATTTACCAGATAAACACAGCGCAATCTCAGTTAGCAACCCTCACCTTCTTCATTTACATTACCTCTCTTGTCCAGTGAGATCTTGAAATGGAAATAGGAGGCTTGTAGCTAGTCACAAGTGGAAAGTGAGAATTGTTCAGTTTCTTGGGGGAGGTATTTAAGGCATGCTAGCTAAGGCACTACCTGCACAGAATGTGTGCTATTCCAATCACCTCCACAGAGATTTCTCATCTTTCTGACACCTGCTGTTTCCTCCAGCCTACAGCCCCATTATCTTACATGAATTCAATGCAAGAACCCAGTTACCATCTCAGAGGGCAACTTAAACTTTTCTTCCTTGCACAAACCCAAACTTGACATTTTGTTCAAAGAGAGAGATTTTCAACAGCGGCAGGAGAGAGGTAAACAAGAAAGTTTCTGCTGGTGTGAAGCAAAAGTAAGTTCAACCCTCTCCAAATGTTCTGGCTCTGCCAAAGAGCATCCACACAGACTAAGTGGGATGAAATTATCTAAAGAAGATGGATGAAGGCCAAATAAATATCTGAAGCTGTTAGAGAGGACAGCAAGATGCATCTGGGAAATAGGAAGGGTTTGATATCACAAAGATGTTAAAAAGCCATACTGTGGTTGAAAGGCCCGGGTTTAGAAGGAAGACCAACCTGCTCAGGACAGCCGCTTAAGCTGCTGTTACAGATACCTGGGAAGGACTCAAGGATATAATGTGCACAGTCTTTTGCAGGCAGATATGAGCTTATTTTGCACGAGCTGACCAGAAGCCATTCTGCTATGCCAGCATACCATCAAGCACTTGGCGGGAAGCCTTGCTGCAAAGCAGTGTGTATTAGATCAGGCAACGTACCATTCTCACGTGGCCACAAGTCCTCAGGCTGACCCACAGTGCAGGCTACAGTAAGCTCACATCGGTTTGCAAATGGGCGTGCACATACACTCACGAAGGGAAAAAAAAAAAAACAACAAAGAAGAAAGATTTCAAGACCAATGTGCAATGAATCCATCAACTATAAGGTAGGATGAACTGAGGTTTGCAAGATCAGGGATGGACATCAGACCCTGAGAAGCAGTTGGGAAAAATTAACAGGAAGATAGAGCTTATGGTGTAGGGAGACCAACACTGGACATGCCCGTTCAGAGACAGGGCACCGTGAAGCCTCAAATTTGAAATGAACAATTCTTTCAGAGGCAGCTCTTTAACTAAGGCAGGTTAAACATCAGAAGCATGAGAAGTATAACACAGTACACGTCTTTATGGAATGACTTCTGTCACAGTGATTCAGTAACGCTTTTTCTAGTAATTTGAACATAATGCAACACAGTTGTACTACTGAACTCTTTTCAAAATCAACACAACTCAGGTATAAATACCTAGCTTCAGTCACATATCCCAACATAGCTGGTTTTCACATATGCATACCTGCAGTTAAGTCCATACAAGTATATTTGTGATATTTTAAAAGAACTCAATCAAAAAACCGATAAGGACTGGAATTCAAAAATTGCTATGACTCAATCCTTTTGTAAGTCTTTGTCAGAACTGAAACTCTTCTTACTCATTCTATTTTCGTTCTCACATGTACAGTGATTTTTAGAAACAGATAGATCATGTTGCACAGATTTATGTAAGTGCACCTTGGTGTTGCATATACAAGTTTGACATACAAATACAAATATAAACAGATACCATACTTGTTAAGGATCTGTTTAAGTATTCTAGTTGCACAATGTTAAATTGGTTGCTCTCTTATTGAAATCCATTTTTAATCTTCACAGAGCAGAAAAAAACCTACTTTATATATTTATCATAACTCCAGCAATGGCATCTGGAACCCCTAAGGCATGTTACATTTTGTGAGCATCTTCATTATTTTTTGTGCTGATTAAATTGGGTGCAATAGTGAGAACACATCGACTTCATTTAAGGAACTGGGGAAATGGGACAAATTTACAAGGACAATAACATCTGTAATCTACAAGCTTGGATGAGAAGATTGGTCAAAGCTGTTAAGAAATGAAAAAAGGAAAACCCACAGCAGTGCTTCTAGAGATTGTTTTTTGAATGGCCTGAAGCTTGATTTCTAATTAATTTCCAACTTTGAGTTTACAGCTCTGAAAGTCGTCGTCTTAGCCGACACGCAAACCAATTATTTACTTTACAGACGTCCAAAAAGGAGAAATAACAATTCAAGCCAAAGTAAGAGGATGAAGGCAAAGCAAATGTTTTGCAGCACTCACCTTAGGCACCCAGTGGCATTGCGCAGCACCTGTGATGAATGGAGCTGTATTTTATGATCATCCTGGAGTGGAGAGTTTTCCCATCCAGAGTGAGGGATGATCACTGCATTGGTCAACACTGCGAGGGCATCCTGGATGATTGGCATTTTCAGTGCATCACAGGAGGATAGATTCCAGAGAACTCCTACAAAAAAACCCAAATGACTAATAATTAATACTTCTGCAAAGAAGATTGAATAATTTTCATTTCTTAAAAAAAACCCAAAACATTTCACAGCATTGGTGAGCTTAATGAAACTGTTTCTATCAAAGAAACAAAAGACTTCATTGTAAATGGGGCTGAATGATACCTGCACACTTTTGCAGTGGGAATACGGCTTTGCATGCTCAACAGCAACAAGTGTCACAACAAATAGTCACAGCAACACTGGAAATTTCTCAGAGCTAGGCCTGAGCAGCTGCATGAGCACCTGGTCATGATCTAGGCCTATTTAGGTGGTGAGAGACACGTGGAATGAAGGAGTATTACATATATTTTTGCAGGGCCTGGACTTCAGATTTCTTCCTTGTAAATAAAATCTATAAAAAACAATAGCAGAAAATAGGATCTGATTTACACTAAGACTAACACTCTTGATAGATATACATTGAGAGAACAAACTCCTAACTATTTCTGTGATCTTCAATGTAACGAAAGTGTTTAGGCTAGTTGGTACTACAAACAAAAAGACTTCACAACCTGACACAGTAGTATGGTATTATACTGGCCTCCGACAAACCATTTTTAATTTTGTAAATATTTTAATATTCAAAGTCATGGAAAACCACCGTTTCTGCACAGAAACAACAAGCTTAATGATGCAACTCACAAGGAGATTTACTGAAATTCAAAAAAGCCCCTTCTGTTAAAATGCTTAATGTGCCAAAGAAAAGGAAGAACAATCAAGACCCAAAGCTTTTTGAGCGCAGCCCACAAGAACCGGCGTCACTGCCACAGAGAGTTGGTAAGAAATGGTTGGGGGTAAAAGAGACTCTGGCTTTCATTCCCTTGTATATATTTGTACCAGAGCTTAGGGGAAGCACATTTGATTTTTGTGCTGTGACAGCAGCCTGCTGCTGCCGGGCAGCTACAAGTGCCAGGGGTGAAGCCGGAGGATGACAGGCTGCTCTGAAGAAGCAGCAGTCTTTATTTTAGCCCAGCATCCTCCCAGCAGCAGCTGTACGAGGAAGCCTGCTTCCTCCTGCCTCTCCCCTTGCCAACACATGGCCTCAGCCTGAGAGTCCCATCCTGCTGCTTCCTACTTTCTCCCCTGTAGTGACAGTACCCTGGCCCCACACCTAACCGTGAGCAGCAAAATTGAGTTTTGCCTTTATGGCTATCAAGTTTTGAACCAACACAGAGAATGATTACCATTATCGTAGACACGAGGTTACAAATGTGAACATTACACTGTGAAAAACCAAAGTGAGCAGTGGTGGGAGGAAACCACTAAAGACCTTGCGAACGTAGACTCAGACATTTATAAATACAAGCAGCAATAATACCAGTTGCTCAAGGCTTTCTTTAGCATTCTGTGCTTTGAAGGAGACATGTAAACAGGAACCAACCTACGTTTTTAGGTTTCCCTTTAAAATTAATTACCTCTGTGGGGAGACTTCTTCAGTTATACAATCTCATGTTTTAATTATTTTATATGGAACTGAACGCAAAGATAGTTATGCCGCTTAAGGTACAAATTTTGCTTAGAATACCAATAAAGAACCCCCAAACCTTAAAGTAGTCTGTATATGGTAAACAGGCAGAAACTAACAGCTTTTAGCAACAGACAAAAAAAAAAAGAGGCAGGAATAAGAACATTGTTCATTTTTTTAATTTAAGAATTGCTGCTTTAAAGGGAAAACAGTCTTTGTTTCAATTCTGTTCTGAATGCCTTTATGAAAAGTAATACTGTATTCAAAGGAACAAAGATCTTCACAAAGACATTTATACTCACTTCTCTATGATCTGCTCTTGGTAAGCTTTATTGGCACATCTACTGTTCTTGAAATACCTAGTATTTCGCCGGTTTTAGTTAGTGCAAACCCTAATATGGTTGCTTGTTTTTTTTTACATTAATCTAGACAAGTGTAAATGATGTGTATGATATAGAAGTAGAGAATCAGGATGCAAATCTTTCCCCCTTCAAGGTCCAAATTACTTCTTATGCAAGACAATGTGTGGCTCCTTTGTGGAGAAGTTCTATTTTGGAAATGAGGCAGAAAAGAGTGCTCTGATGGCAACAAAACAGTACTTTGGGATTCAAGAACTAGTAAAAAACCATAAAAAAATACAAAAGAAGCAAACATAAGAGCCCCATCTAGCAAAATGCTGAAAAACATGTATGTATACACTATTTTCTATTCACTCTAGGTTCTTGCTAATTAAAAGTAAGCTCACATAAACATCATAAGTTGGTATTCAGCAAAAGTTCAGATGCCCAGAAATATTCTTTATGCTCTTTTTCTCTATTTAAAATCCACTTGACACTGCACATGAGCTTTTGCTCAATAGGCTGACATAGTAACAGGCAAGTTCCAAATAAGAATCCAAATAAAAACTTACATATTCACCCAAAACGCAGTAAGAGGGGTCTGGTTTCACTAACTGGAAATTAAACCTTCACAGTAAGAGGATGAAGGGATCACCAGACTAAATTAGCTGTTCTGCTTTCTCCCAAAATGGTTGTAAGTCAAGGCAGAATCAAGAAAAATGGCACTGCCCAGTAAGCCTGACACCATCTTCAAAATTTTTGGACCTCACACGCAGTTTAAAGGAGTAAGATAATCTTCTCCCACCCTAGAACAGTGCCTTTTATCTAATTCTAAGTCTTTGAAAACTACCAACCACATTAATGAAAAAAACAATTTTCTTCTGACAAGTTCTAATTTATTCTCAGATTCTGCTACTTGCTGAGGTTGGCATTTTAAGTGTCTCCTTGTACCCCTCCTTAATTAAGGATTTGCAATTATTAAAGGGCACTAGCAATTCACTTCCCATTACTTTTGCTGAGGATGACCTGGAGCTAGATTTATGTCAGGCCTAAGAAGATGATCCATTCTCTTAACTTTGCAAGGGAAAGTGATTAAAAAAAAATATCTTTTACCTGAGGCACCTTCCATTATGCCTCTACTCTTCTCCATACGACTATGAAGGTAATTTTCAGGCATGTATGCATGCCCTTTAAGACTACAGTAAGGAGCTGGTCACTGAGATCATTTGCCACTTTACTCTGAAGGCCCTGACTGAATTGGGTTTCTGGCACAATAAGGAAGTCTGGAATAGCCTCAGAGGTACCTTGACTGCCCGCTAAATCATTTGTGTGCCATCAGCTACCCAGAGGAAGGGACCAGACTTGGAATATCAGTGATTCACCACCAATAGTGGGACCCAACCTGCTGTATACGGATTGGAAGAGAGCTGTTAATCCAGCAAGTCAATAGTCCAACTCAACAGTTTACCATCTGTAGACTGACTCTTGGGACGGATGGGAAAATCAAGAACTAATCAGATCAGTACTAAACATCTCTTACTCAATCACTTGCATTCAATCTTATCTCCTCCTCGCTTTTAAGGTTGTGACACATTCAGGGTAGGCATTTTATCTCTATTTGCAGATCACTAGGTTCTATTGGATAGAAAGAGAAAAATAGCTATACCGGACTGATCAGGTTGAAGTCTTTCACCCTTACATATAACAAACCGAAGCGCATGGAAAAAATATCTTGCAATCTCATTTTTAGTTTAAAACTCAGGAGAAACTGGTACTGAAAAGATTCAGCTGGGTCTGAGTACCGATTACCAGTCTTGCAGACATCAGATGAAGGGTTCTTGGAGGCATCTACGCTTGCTATGGAGATCTTGCTAAACCAAGTTCAATCTTCTGGACTAGCTTAACAGAGGACATGCATCCACTATGCTCAATGTAAATCATCTTTTCGAAGAAGCCCTTTCACAGATAATGACAATCAAATTTAACAACTGGTTAGAAATTCTGAAAAAGGTTATAATCAACCTTTTCAAGGACATAACTGCACAGATATAGTTCATAAGGAAAACTACACATAGATCTTATTTAAGGCAATTTAAGTCTGTTGCCACTGGAAGAGGAAGCTGAGAGACCAGATAACCAGGAAAACTTTGATTTATCTTTCTCTTAGCCGAAGTCCAGAAGATTGAAGTCAAGACCAAGCCTTTTAAAAGCACGATCCAGGCTGATGAGATGTTACTACTGCTTAGCTGACAGAGCTTACCCACCATGCTTCCAGCTTAGAAACAGCACTCCTTTTTACATAAATTTATTCAAGTTATTGCAATAGATACTGCATCACTTACCCTAAAGAAGCAAAGCAAAATATTTACAAAATTTGAAGTCACTCAATTTAATGGAGCAATCTGAGCCAAAAAAACATCATTGAGCTAGAGCTCAAACTCATGGATTCACGGATCGTGATTAACTCAGCCAGATTAAACTCTTCAATGCATTCTTTTAGCCAGTGTTTTACTTAGAACTGGTACTTGCATATGTATATGAACAGTCAGGTATAACTAAAGACCTGATAAGCCACATGCTATCCTTATTCCATTCAAAGTTAAGAAAATAGTGACCATACATTTCCATGCAAAAAATATCACTCTATCAATAGACCATGTGCAAAATCAGGAAAGTCTAAGCAATTATTCAGTGCATGATTTAATGCTACCTCAAATAATAACTTTTATGTACATAAACAAGCCCCTTAGAACAATTTAGACTACAAATCTAAATGGAAACCAAGAAAACAAAAAAAATCAGCTTTTCCAAAAAGCATTGGTCCTGCCACACTGCCACTATGTGTTGGTTTTTTTTATTGTGCTGCAAAAGATGTACTTTGCTAAATAAATTATAGGGCAAAAGGATCATGAGTAAACAAGTATTATTGGGGAAAAAAGACACTGATTCTTCTCAATTTGGTATAAGTCAGCCTTAAATTTATACCAAGATTTTGCCAATTTAATATTCTTTGTTAAAATAAAAATATAAAAGTCTTCCAACTCATCAATGTTTTTCTTTTCCACCTTAATTTAATAGTTTGGTCATGGACTGAATGCCATTTGGTAGAGCTGGGGGATCTGGCATCCCAGTAAGAGCGAACACAGCTTTGGCA